CTTGGCCTCCCAACATGCTGGGATTACAGGTGTGAGCCACTCCCCTCAGCCTTAGCTCCCACTTACAAGTGAGAACATTCAATATTTGGTTTTCTGTTTCTGCATTAATTCATTTAGGATTGCAGCCTCCAGCTGCATCCATGCTGCTACAAAGGACGTGATTTCATTTTTTTTTTATGGCTATGTAGTATTCCATGACCTATATGTAACAAATTTTTTTTGTCCAATCCACTGTCATGGGCACCTGGGTTGATTCCATGTCTTTGCTATTGTGAATAGTGTTGTGATCAACATATGAGTGCAGGTGTCTTTTTGGCAGAGAATTTGTTTTCCTTTGAGTATATATGCAGTAATGAGATTTCTGGGTTGAATGGTAATTCTATTTTTAGTTCTTTGAGAAATCTCCAAACCGCTTTTCATAGGAGCTGAACTAATTTGCATTTCCACCAACAGTGTATTAGCATTTCCTTTTCTCCTCAACCTTGCCAACATCTGTTATTTATTGATCATTTAATAATATCCATTCTAACTTGCGTGATACGGCCTCTCATTGTGATTTTGATGTGCATCTCTTTGATGATTAACGATGTAGAACATTTTTTCATATGTTCGTTGGCTGCTTGCATGTTTTCTTTTGAGAAGTCTCTGTTCATATACTTTGCCTACTTTTTAATGGGATTGTTTGGTTTTTTTCTTGTTTATTTGTTTAAGTTCCTTATAGATTCTGGATGTTAGTTCTTTGCTGGATTCACAGTTTGCAAATATTTTCTCCCATTCTGCAGGTTGTCTGTTTACTCTGTTGGTAACTTCTTTTTTTTTTCTTGGTTGTTTTTATTTTTATTTTTATTTATTTATTTTTTTTGAGACAGAGTCTCCTTTTGTTGCGCAGGCTGGAGTGCAGTGGCGCAATCTCGGCTCACTGCAACCTCTGCCTCCCAGGTTCAAGCAATTCTCCTGCCTCAGCCTCCCAAGTAACTGGGATTATAGGTGCCCACCACCATGCCTGGCTAATATTTGTATTTTTAGTAGATATGGCATTTCACCGTGTTGCCCAGGCTGGTCTCGAACTCCTGACCTCAAGTGATCTGCCCACCTCACCCTCCCAAAGTACTGGGATTACTGGCATGAGCCACCATACCCAGATGGTAATTTGTTTTGCTGAACAGAAGAGTTTTAGTTTAATTAGGTCTCAATTGTCAGTTTTTGTTTTTGTTGCATTTGCTTTTGAGGGCTTAATCATAAATTCTTTGCCTAGGCCAATGTCTAGAAGGGTATTTCCTAGGGTTTCTTCTAGGATTCTTATAGTTTGAAGTCTTACATTTAAGTCTTTAATCCATTTTGAGCTAATTTTTGTATATGGTAAGAGGTAGGGATCCCGTTTTATTCTTCTGCATATGGCAGCAATATTTATTAAGTAGGATATCCTTCCCCATTGTTTATTTTGTTGACTTTGTCAAAGGTCAGTTGGTTGTAGGCTGTGGCTTTGTTTCAGGGGTATTCTGTTTCATTGTTACCACCTTTTCAAAAGAAATCAGGTACTGTATATTAATAAGTCACCCAATTGACTGTGTCTTCTTAGATAATTTACTGGTGCTAAATGACTGTAACACGGGAATTATGGGCAAGAGAAACAAGAAAAGCAATATTTGGAAAAAAAATCCTTATACTGTGTAGTCATTGCCAAAAGAACAAGGAAAGAGTAGAAATCCTTAATCTGTGAGATAATTACAAATGGAAACAAGCTGGAAAATGTATTGGAAACATTAAAAAATGGAAATAAGTCTTGGAAAATGGGTATTTTTATATATATGCACTCATATATGAGATATATAAGCTTATCATATATGTATAAAATACATATATGATATACAAGCATATATATTATATATGATATATAAATACATAATAGATATATATTTATATACCATATATCATCATATAAGTATTATATAAGTATATAATATATAATACATAGCTATAATATTGTGTATTATATAGATATTATATATTTATATAGATTTATATATAATAGGTGTATTTATTATATATAAACCTATATATATAATACCTATCATATGTTTTTAAGTAATAGGTATATATACCTATTATTATATGTTATATATAAATATATATTATAGGTGTATATAATGGTATATTTTATACATATACATTTACACTATATATTTTAAAAGATACATATTTTTAGACAGGAGCTGGTTCTGCAGCCCAGGCTGAAGTGCAGTGACGTGATCATGGCTCACTGCAGCCTTGACCTCCTGGACTCAAGTATCAAGCAATTCTCTCATGTCAGCCTCTCAAGTAGCTGGCATGTGCCATGGGCATGTTCCACCATGACCAGCTAATTTATTTTTATTTTTATTTTTTGTAGAGATAGGGTTTCCCTATGTTGCCCAGGTTGGAGGTGTATTTTATAAACAGAAGTTATGTGACTTCCTGCCCCAAGGTACTTAACTTCCTGCCCCAAAGTACTTAAGATGATATTCTTTTGCTGTATATTCGCACTTTAAGAAAATTACTTATGACAACTACCTTCATTTTTATAGCGTATGCCAATATAAGTACATTTTAAAGCATTTCCTTGGCTGGGTGTGGTGGCTTATGCTTGTAATCCCAGCACTTTGGGAGGCCGAGGTGGGTGGATCACCTGAGGTCAGGAGTTCAAGACCAGCCTGGCTGACATGGTGAAACCCCGTCTCTACTAAAAATACAAAAATCAGCCTGGCGTGGTGGTGGGCGCCTGTAATCCCAGCTACTTGAGAGGCTGAGGCAGAATTGCTTGAACCTGGAAGACAGAGGTTGCAGTGAACCAAGATCGCATCATTGTACTCCAGCTTGGGTGATGAAACAAGACTCTATCTCAAAAATAAATAAATAAACAAACAAACAAACAAATAAATAAAGCACTTGTTCAAAACAGAATTACAACTTTCGAACCCATTTCCCTCTCTCGAGCTCTGCCAATGTAGATGAACACACACACAATTAAGTCCTAGATAGGTAGCTAGAACAAGGTTTTCATTATATGAAACAAATCTGTGATTTCTCTCTGTTTCCTCCCTAGCCTTGTTTCTTCAATTTCTATTATTACAGCAAACTCCACACACACACACACACACACACACACACACACACACACACACACACACACAGAGAGAGAAATCTCTTTGGTTGCCCAATTTATTGTTAAACAAGCAAAAATAATCTTTGTATAAAATAAGGGGTTTTTTTTCCATTTTCCAGTTGCTCAATTATTATGTGTTGAATGGCTAAAACTTAGAAAACAGAGAGGCAAACAAAAAAACCCAATCACCAATAATTCTGCCACACAGAGATCGCCACTGAAACACTCCAGCATGGATAATATTATAATGTGGTCGTGTACTTGCCTTCATTCACTTGGAGTTGCTCTCATTCACTTCATTCACTCACTTCATTCATGTTCGTCACGAACGTCTTTTCACGTCGGCAAGAATTTATCTTCAACATGAATTTTAGTAACTTTTAAGTATCCTATCATATGGATGCACCAGAGTTTGTCTATTGTCCTATTGTTGGACATCTAGATTGTTCTATGTTTTCCATATTATAAACATTATATTATGTTATGAGAGAGCACTTTACTCACCACCCCTGAGATTTCCTTCTATTACAGTGACAATCTTGGCCTTTTTCTGGGATAGAGAGATTTACCTAATAGATAAGTTTGAAATTAGGACCTGGGCCTATGTGGCCCACACCTTCTTCTCCTAGGAAGCCAGACTGTTACCAGAGAGCAGGTACTTGCTCTGAGATGCCCAGATGGGAGGCTTGTGCCTGGGCAGTTCAGTCTATCTGATTCTGGGATTCAGTTTTAGGAAGTGTGTTGTGGCTGTACACCTAAGCTCTGGTCTATAATAGTTATAGCTGACCTTTTGATTCTTGTGTATTTATGTGTTCTCATATATATATATATATATATATGTATAAATTTAAGAATTGGGATTTTTTTTGGCTGAAGGTGAGTATTTTTTAGGCCTGTTTTTTTTTTTTTTTTTTGGAGATGGGAGTTTTGTTCTTGTTCCCCAGGCTGGAGTGCAATGGTGTGATCTCGGTTCATTTAACCTCTGCCTCTTGGGTTCAAGTGGTTCTCCTCCCTCAGCCTCCCAAGTAAGTGGAATTACAGGCACACGCCACCACCCTGAGCTAATTTTTGTATTTTTAGTAGAGAAGAGTTTCGCCATGGCCAGGCTGGTCTCGAACTCCTGACCTCAGGTGATCCACCTTCCTTGGCCTCCCAAAGTGCTGGGATTACAGACATGAGCCACTAGGCCTGGTCATTTTAGGTCTTTTGATAGAAATTTTTATATTATTCTCTAGAAAATTTGTACCATTGTTGACTCCTACCGGCAGAGATTGGAGCTATGTTTATCTTTGAAAGCTTAAATTTTTTCAAAGATCTATATCTATTTATCATATAAAATATATAATATGATAAATTATATATAATCATAAAATATATTCAGTTATAGATAATCATATAAAATATATAATACATTAAATTATGTATAATATATTGAATATAAGTTAATTTACACATTACATATGTAAATGATCTAAGTATATATTTTAAATATGAATTTAACCAAAAAAATTGGAAATGGAAGGAAAGAGTTAAGACATAAAATCATTTACCAAGTTTTTGAGCCATCTGGGAGTTTTATATGTTGATGGAGTTTTATATGTTGATGGAGTTTTATATGTTGAAATGTTTGGCCATTTCATGTACACATGTATGTACATACGTGGGCATGTTTACGTTAGGCAATTTGAAAAGGAGTACTTGGTATAATATGAAAAGACGACATTAAGAAATATACCATTTGTAGGAATAGGGAGTGTGCTATTTAATTAATCAAGAAATCAGAATGATATCCAAAAATATCAGCTACTCTCCCTTTTCCCCTCACCTTAGGTTTAAACGATGATTGGCAGGCATTGTGTTGAGAAGCTGAAAATTTTATTTTCATGAGTCATAGATGTTGAGACTCCAATGAACTTTGCATATTTATTCTACATAGTGGTTTTCCATGTTTTTACCAAGAATATGGTAGCATCACAGGCATTCACTTTTTTGCATAGATTTAAAATGAACTGGAAAATATTTCACCCATCCTTTGAAGATGTTTGATAGAAGCTGAACCCACCTCTTCCTTAGTACTGTGTGAAATTGGCTGTGATGTGCTCGTGGTTGAAGGGTATGTAGTCAGCAACCCCTGGAAATAAGCAGAGAATAATATGAGGTCACTGTGGTGCATGTAACCATCTCCATCCCCCAAGGGATGCAGTGAGTTAGATGCAGTGAACCCACTGAATTTTTTAAAGGAGTAAAATCATCCTAGAGAGAAATAGGCAGTTTGATTATGGAGAGAACATGAAATTGAGATTTAGGGTGTTCTTGTTTCCAGTCTCTGGTCAACATTTCATGGAGTAAGTCTTTGGGTATACCCTTTAAGATGCATGAGCCTCTTTTTCCTCACATACAAGATTTTGTTAATAATATTTACTCTGAAGAGTTATTTTCAGAATTAGAAATAATGACTGCTGGGTGCCTAATACTGTACCTGACACAGAATAATTGTGCAATAAATGGTGGTTATTGCTAAAATGGCTTATTTAGGCCAAAATTAGGGCATTCAAGGGAGAACCTCAGGTTCATTTTTGAAGTTTTTGTAAGACATAAGAAAGAGCAGTGGGTTGCGAATTTTTGTCCTTCAGGACAGGAAAGATAGATGATGGCAATATCTGTTACCTTTCAGGTAGCCGGGCAACAGAAAGAATGACAGTTTCAGGCCTGCATCTTTTTGTTTCTCAGAGGACTTTACCATTCTTTCTCCAAGGGAAGAAAAGTAATTGGTAGACATGAGAATATGCCTGATTTAAGTTCCTGGGGCAATTACTTTCTTTTTTTAAAAAAAATTTTGAGTATTTAAAAATTTTTAAATTTTTGTGGGTACATAATAGGTGTGTACATTTATGGGGTATGTGGAATATTTTGATCCAGACATTTCTTGAGATGAAGGTGATGGGAAAACTAATAATAATAATGATTAATATTTTTGAATACATGCCATGCAAAACACTGTACTTAATCATTCTAAGTATATTATTTCCAATCCTCACAATAACCCAAGAAATGATTGGTGCAATTTCCATTTTAAAGCTGTGCAAACTGGCTCACAGATTTACTACTAATGTACTGCAGCTGTTAAATAAGAGAAGGAGCTTCTAACCAAGTCTTCTGTGACTCCAAGATCTTTATTATGTGCTTTGCTGCAATTCCACAAATTCTGACTGGCAAGATTTGTTAAATACATGATAGACTCTAAGAAGAACACCTCCCCCACTGTAATATTGGATAATGAAGCATCTTTACCAACCTATGACCTTGGCTCTACTGTGACTTTGTTTGGCTTTATATGTCTCTGCATAGTGACAATTAACATCAGGTTAACTAGGTAACATCATGCTTAGACAAAAACCATACACCAGTGCTCTTTAAATCGGAGAATATTTCAATATGTGTGCAAAAGCTTTAACCAATGTTAAGGTTTGGCTGAAGTCTGAGTTTTATTCTTCCCACTTTCTCCTAATTTTTTCAGGGGAAACATGCACCAACATCCACATTACAGGCATTCCTCTCTTTGGAGATTTTTGTAAAAAAGAAGGTGAAGCATGAATTTTGAGTGAAACTATTGTGCAAAGCACATTTGTACAATAGAGTTACAGAGACTTTGGAAACCTGGGTTTGATTATCCACTTTTACGTTCTAGATGCATGCCTTGTACAAGACCCTTTAATGTCTCTTAAGACTTATTTTCCTTCTCTATAAAAGGTATTACCACTGCCTACAGAATTAATCTCTTTCTCTAATGATTATATATATATAAAATAGATATTTGTATACATATAAGCAATCTGTCTATAGAATTATTGTATATACACATATGATCTCATAATTATCAATTGATTAAATGAATGAATGAATAAATTAAATGAAAAATAATTAAGGAATGTAGCCTTCAAACTACGGAAGATAACACCTATGCCTTTTCTTCCCTCACCTTCATTCAAAGGTGTTATGCCACTAAGGAACTGCCAGTACGTCTTGTGATTAACATTTTCAGCGATATTGTTGATAGAAGAGACGACAAGGCCCCAAGATGTCATAGTGGTTTCAAATCTAAAAAAAAAATTGTCTATGATTAACATCTCACTTTAGGTCAGGGAATAAGGGGTAAGATGAAGGGATGGAGACATTCAATTAATTAATTAGTTAATTAAGTTTTTAGAGACAAGGTGTCACTTTGTTACCCAGGCTAGTGGTGAGATCCTAGCTCATGGCAACCTCGAAATCCTGGGCTCAAGCAATCTTCCCGCCAGGATAGAGACACTTTAAATGCTTCAGATAAATGCTTCAGACATTTTAAATGATATTCTCTTTTGAGCATGATTTTATCTGATAAAGTGATCAGATTATATCAAAAGAGAAAATGCTTTAACCAGTTTACTATTGATGAGCATTTAGGTTGATTCCATTTCTTTGCTATTGTGAATCGTGCTGCAATGAACATGGATGGAGGCCATTTATCTTTAGCAAACTAACACAGGAACAGAAAACCAAATACTGCATGTTCTTACTTATAAGTGGGAGCAAAATGATGAGAACACATGAATACACAGAGGTGAACAACACATTACTGGTGGCCGTACTCAGAGGGTACGGCTGGAGGTGAGGGACGGGAGGATGCAAGGAGAAAGTAACTAATGGGTAGTAGAAATTGTAATACGCTGGGTGTGTAAAAGTAAGTGACAACAAAGCCGCCCAAATGACACAGTTGCTACCGTATGTAGCAAACCTTGCAAATGTACCCCGCGCAGGAACTTAAAAATGGGACACGCGAGGTTAAGTAATGAAGCAAAAGGAAACATGGGCGCAGTGCTCGTGGTCATGGCCTGTAATCCGCAGCACTTTTGAGAGGACTGCAGAGAGGCAAAAATTGCTTGAGCCCCAGGAATTCGAGACCCAGCCTGGCAAATTATGGGTGAAAACCCATCCTCAAACGGAAAATGTACCGAAACAAATTGTAGCCAGTATCACTCATAACCTGATCTCAAAAATAAATAAAATAATAAATGAATTTTAAAAAGCAACACAGCAAGATGGGACTAGTGAAGTATGAAAGGATTTACTCTCAGCTTTTATGAGAAATAAGCAGATTGAAACTGAACAATCGAATGGCATTGTTGAAAATACACCTAGGTTAAGGACTACAAGCAAATGTGTTTTAAAAAAATGTAAATTCCCCCAAGCATGGCACACGTAAAAGTAATTAATATGGAGCTCATGCGAATGAATATCCAAGATTAAATATTTGGAAGCCATGAAAATATTTGTCAATAATTTTCAGTAACACAGGAAACTACTTATGCAATAATGTTAAGTGAAAATATGAGATACAAATTTTACATGAAATATCCCTCTGTCCCATGGATATGATGGATCACATCTATTTGTAATATGCATGGAAAAAAACACCTACAGAAGTTATAAAAAATATTAACAGCTGTGATATTATGTGTGGACTGTAGATGATTTTTCTTTTTTATGCTTTTTCCCTCAAAATTTCTGCTATATGTCCTCCGCCTCCTCTTCCCTCCTCTCCCTCTCTCCCCTCCTCTCCCTCATCCCTTGATGGCTCTTCCCTTTCTCTTCCTTTCCCTCTCCTTTTTCATTTTGCTTTTCAGACAGAGTTTTGCTCTTGTTGTCCAGGCTGAGTGCAATTGTTGTGATCCTGGCCTCACCCGCAACCCTCCACTCCCGGAGTTCCAAAGCTATTCTTATGCCTCAGCCTCATCCGAGTAGCTGGGATTGAACACAGCGCTGTGCCACTGAGCCCCGCCTGTTCTGGCGCATTGTCCTTTTCCTCGCACTTACCTCTTCCCATATCTTTCCTAAATAGTACCTATTCCTTTGTGGTTCATATAGCTACAAAGTCTCTTCGCCTGTTACTCTCTGAAATCGGACTTTTGCATCTCCTCTAGAATTTTTGTTATTAAAACTTCATCATCACATTTGACTTGAATGATTTAACGTTTTCATGAGAGCCTTTATCCTATTTATTAATAGTATTGGAAAGCTGCTCAAGGGGCTTATTAAATAAAAATTCTGTTATCAAAGGAAAAAAAATTAAGAAAACGGAGGATGGAGAAAAAATGGGAAATTCGATCAGGCCTGGAGAGAATGATGAGACACTTGTAACATCACTTGAACATAGGATTTTGCCGCTGTGCTTCTTCTAGGACAACAAGTAACACTGGACCCTGTTTTCACACTCCACTTGACTGGTCTCTGGTTGAACGAGACAGCTCCCCCTAGCTTGGTTATTTTGGTGTATATGTGACAGTGATGTTTAGATCTTGTGGAGTGCGGCAGGCCCACCGGTTGCTGGGTAGAGTTTTGGTTGTAACCCTCATGATCTGTGAAGGGCAAAGAGG